GTTTTTGTGAGTCTTTTTATAAAAAAGGGTTTTTTCCAAATTTCAGTGATATGGAAATTTATTTCTTTGTTAAATAAAAAACACATATCCTTTAGAGCATGTAAAGCCCATGAAAATCTTGATGAGACTCAGAGTGTGTTTCCTCATAAGACACAAAATCAGCTTGAGTCAAGTTTCAAGAACAGGGTAAGAGTTTAGAGACATTTTCCGATAGTAAGAAGGCAGGGGTAGGAGAAGTAACCTATGGCTTCTACAAATCCTTGTCACATTTGTTACAATTCAGGTGAGAAAACTGTCAGACACTGTGGAGGTACAGACCTACCACACAGATGGCTTAGAAACAATAAGGCTCTTGGTAGGGCCCAGGACCTGTTCAGAATGGCAAAAGTAAAATGAGAAAATTTCTCTCTTTTTTAACAGTGAATTTTCCACAAAAATGACAGAAACGTTATCATCAACACCTAGGTGTCTCCTGACTGGAATAATAATATTGATTACTTTGGAACATAGTGAAGGAAAAATGGGGAATAGGAAGTTTTAACTGCAGTAAGATAAAAGGATGGCAAATAATGTCCTATGATAATTGCTTTTTATCTCTTCTACTGTAATTTTATATAGAATTGTTTTATGAGACAATTTGCTAAAAACAACTGCCATTTTCTGAACTCTGTCATGGAATATCCAAAATTATTAAACTTTGATTCAATGATTAAAATTAAAATAAAATTCCCAAAGTCAGTCAAGTTATTCGGGAAATTAACCTAGAAAGATATTCAGTAAGGACATTCAATTTTTAATTTGCTTAAAGGAGTTTTTGAGATGGCTTTATTAAAACAAAATATTCTGGAAGTCCTTAGAATTGATGAAGATTGGAGAATTGATTTTTAAAAAGCTATTTGTCTTTGTCTAAAGTATTTTAAAATGCATAACACTAGAAAGGTAGAATACTTACTTCAAGGAAAGTGTCAAATGTTTTATTTACTTGCACAAGAAATAAAGGCAGAATAAAAAAGAAGTTTCCTAGCATTGCTCCTCAGGTTTATCCTTTATAGAATTATAAACCATTCTGGTGAAGGCTTTGACCTGTAGCAGTTTAAAGCAGATCAGCTAAAAACAAGTTCCTGAATCCACTAAAAGAGATAAAAGAACACAGAAAGTATCAGAACCTCTGAAGGCCAGGCCACTGCTGAATTCATGTCATTTCAAAACTTGTCACTTGAAAACAAACAATTAAAAAACATGAAATGGTGTATCTAAATATCAAATGTCCATAAGAAAACACTGTACAGGAATTTTATCAGTTTGAACAATAAAGATAATGACTGGCAAGTGAAGGAACCAGGTTCTCTCTTCTCAACTGTTTCAAAAACTTCCTAGGTTGCTTATTTATGTGTTTTCTCCAGAATATCAGTGGTTACTTTAAAGTTGTGGCCTCCAAGCAAAGGTACAAAGTGTATAATTTCATTTAAATCTCATTTAAATTTGGGATAAAATTCAGTCAAAATTAAAATATTCTACTATTTTTTTATTTCCTACTATTTGCAATGAAGATATACTTTTGCAAAAACTATATCACACTTCCTAGTTCCTCATCTGTCAAATCACATCTTCCATGATTTTCAATTATATGTTCATACAATTTCACTACTCTAGCTAATGGTGTTGCTCATTTTAATAAAGTCATTTGATTATTTATTTAATTGTCAAAATCTAAGTAAAAGGAAGATGATCCTGTGTATCTTCATTTTTTGAAATCATCTTCATTTCTATCAGCCTTAATTGACTCTGGTTTCCCTATGAAACCTCTACCTCACAGGCACATTTTGACTGAATAATAGTAAGAGAATTGCAGGAAATGCTTTAAAATGTACATTTGTTTCTGAAAGAAAAAAAATTCCAGAAGATGGAAACAATTTCAGTTAAAAAAAAAATCAACTGTTTCCTTCTCTCTCTTAGTCTTTTAATCTTAATATAAATTATTCCTTTCTGGCACATTGGGGGTCTCCATTTTGCAAAAGTACTTATTTATATACTGTGATACCTGACTAATGAAGGTGTGAGATATTCATGAGTCATTACCATGTTTTGTGTGGGAAAAGGCACCATGAGCTGTGTACCCTGAAGTGGTATTAGTGTCAAAGAATCATAGAATGGTTTGTGTTGGAATGGACCTTTAAAACTCATCTAGTCCAATGCCCTGCCATGGGGAGGGACATCTTCAACTAGATCGTGTTGCTCAGAGCCCCATCCCATCACCTCTCTGGGCAACCTGTTCTGGTGTTTTACCTCCCTCATTGTAAAACCTTCTCTCTTGTATGTAACATAAATCAACTCTCGTTCAGTTGAAAACCATTATTCTTTGTCCTATAGCAGCAGGCCCCGCTAAAATGTTTGTCCTCGTCTTTCTTATAGGCCCCCTTTAGGTACTGGAAGGCTGCTCTAAGGTGTCCCCAGAATCTTCTCCAGGCTGAACAGCCCCAACTCTGTTAGCCTTTCCTCATAAGATACTTGCTCCAGTGGCCCTCCTCAGGACATGCTCCAACAGGTCCATGTCCTTCTTGTGCTGAGGACCCCAGAGCTGGATGCAGCACTCCAGAATATAGCGTAGTAGAAGGACATGTAATATAAATTCCCTTCTGTGCATGTTTAACAGCACAACTACAACATACAACACAGTCAGGATTCATGTTCTAACTCCATTCCCCACCACCATAAATAGCACCAGTAGACTACTGTATGATAGTTCCAATCATTCAACACATGTGCAGTCCCAGCTTTTTCCTACAATCTTAATCTTTATAAAAAGATGTAGCAAGATTTCTACAGGGAACACACAAAAATATGTTTCTAACTCTTCACAGAACTGATTCTTTGAAGACACCTCATTTTCCAAATCCATGTTTTTTAATTGGATCAACATACTACCAACAGTCACCAAAGTATCCATAGCTTTATCCAGGAGCATTTTCTATTGAACCTGCTGTTCTATGGTTACAAAATATGTAATAGGCCCCTTAAGAAACACTGGAATCCACACTTTCTACACTAACACCAGAAAATGAAGGATAAACAGTAATATTAAGGAATCTCTAGGTGAGTTAATCTAAGAGTAAATGCTATATCCCACCAAATTAAAAACATACTGTTTATATTGAAGTACCTGTTTTGATGGCATCTGCATTCAACACACCAGGGCTTTTAACCTTACAGTTAGCACTAAAATATCAAGAATAATACCACTACTATCCCTTCTTCACAATATCTGTAGTTGAGAAAAAGTTGACCTAAAATACTGGTTTTTCTGCCTTCATAACTTCTAAAACATCTAATTCAAAATCAGCAGAAACAGATATTATGTAAAGCAACTTGAGCCACTGTCATTATTTATGGAAAAAACCTTTCTAGTCAACTAGGTAGGGAAATTCCTGTCCCTTTCCTCCTTAACATACATACATGGTACAACTAGATAATAATATAACCTTATTACTGTGACCTTCACACTTTTCTTTTTTTATTTATTATTTTTCAAGTGAATTTAGGATTTGACACTGCTCCGGTATAGATGAGTACCACACAGACATCAGTTGTTGGATTGACTGGGGGAATACTGTTGGTATACATCAACTACTTCCAAGATTATACTGAAAGGGTAAATTCTTCAAGGAGAAAATTGTTCCTTTTGTTCTTCTTCTTTTTGTACTCTACATCTACCTCTGTATTCTACAAACTGGTCTTACTTCACTGCTTCATGGCCTTTTAATTGTGAAAAACTCTGATGGTCCAGCCCAAAAGAAAACTGTGTAACCCTCTAACACACTGGGCCACACGTGGCCCACCTCAAGTGCCACTTGCCCACTGCCAAGGTTACATCCTAAATGGTAACAGCAGCAAGTGCCTTACAACTTCTGTGTGAAGCAAGGTATTTCTGAACCACACGTGCAAGTCAAATGTGAGCCTTGACACTGCTATCAGCAAGAAAAAATTACATTTATTATAGCAAAAGTCTTTCTCTGTATACATTTATGCATATAAACGCTAAAGAATTCCTTTACTTCATCTAATACAGGAACTTATTTGCCAAACACTACAGGGCAAGTTGCTTTTGCAATTTCAATTCTTCAGAATACAGTAGAGATTTTCATGGAAGAACAGATTTACACTAGCTTATGTAGTTTTCTCAATTCTGTTATTTAAAAAAAATCACACAATTTAGTAAAACATTGAAACATATCCAGGCTTATTCTCAAATTCAGATTTATACTACCTTTTTCTAAACATTGCTAAAATAAAATCAGATTAAAATATTTACTGTAGGTGTAATATTATCAAGACAAACAGAATGTCAGTGACATGCGTAACATCTAACATTATTTCAACGTTATGCTCAACACAATATGTGCACTACATTTTAGGAAAGCCTACAAACCAGTTTAGAAAATAATTGATGTCAGTGGATAACTGGTGTTGCTTGCATATTTCTAAATGTTTAGAAGAAACATATTTTCTTAATATTTACTGGTATATAATTGTATTGTCATTGAAAATCAGAACTGAACTACCATGTCAAAATATTACCAGCTAAAATGTTGAGTGCATACAAATCAATGATACAAAGTGCAACAATTATTATGATTACTTTATGCCACTTCTACAAAAATACAAATTAATTTTATCACAAAAAATCTATTACATAAATTCTCATTTATTTTTTTTAGACTGTGCACATATCATATTGCAAAAGCAAAGGAAAAGTAGAGGCATGCTCACAAAAGCTGCAAACAGAGAGGAATACCATGCACACTGTTCACAACAACTCACAGATTATGAGTAAGCTATTTGAAAAACAGGTAAGCCTTTAATGCCACACATTGCTTTCATTTTAATGACAGTAATTCCCCTTGCCTTCAGTAAGAATTACACCTGCGTAAATGAAAGCAAATGTAGGCCAGGAAATGTCTACCATAAAAGAAAATAACTTTAAACAGAAAAAAGGCTCTAACCACTTTGTCCTCCTGGAGTTCACATCCACGAAAGCAAGAAAGAAAGGACAGAAAAAAAAAAAAAAGAAAAAAAAACACAAAGAAGGAAAGAGTCACTTTCATTTCGAAAGCAAGCAGTAGTATTTATTAGTAAAATAAACAAATAAATAGCAAAGGAATTAATATATATCTTTCTTATTTTCCCCAGTGGTTAAGTAGATCTAGTGAAAAATAAGTAATTTTAATAATTTTCATAATTTTTCATGGGTGAAATTGAGACAATCTTATATATAAAAAAAACTTATACAAAAAAAATTTGGGGATTCATATCAGAATTACCTTAATAAAACAGGTGGGTCATCTTATAAAAAGGATGCAGCACTTTGCCCTACATTCCTTGGACCCCAGTATGGCAAATAATTAGCATTCATCAACACTTTGCCCTTGCAAAGAGTTCAGCAAAATTAAAAATGTTTGTTTACTACAGACAGATAGAGAGTGTGCATAATGGCATAACTGCATGTTAGCCACTTGACAGATCTTTAAAGTCCTGGAGTTCTAAAGCACAAAGAGACAGAATTTGTCACAAGTGTTCACTGCATGTGCTGTCAGATCTATAATGTTTATACTTTCTTTTTCATACTCATCAATATTAAACAAAAACATTCCTAATAGTTATTTTCCTTGAAGGAATTGTCTTTTTAGCTGCCTAAAATTGTAAATTAAATAATACTTTAGAAAACAAAAATATTCAAAATGTTTTCAGTCAAAACTAAACTCCGTTTTTGTGAATGAGTAATGGTGATTTTTATCTGGTACCTTAATTTCACATGCCAATACAGAGACTAAACCTAGACATGGAATTAAGCATTGGCTTTGCTGGAAATACACCAAGAAAGGGTGACAACTTATTTTATAGCTTTGTTGTTTAGATATCTGTAGGATATGTAACTTTATAACATGTAATTCTTGTAGAAGGTTTAGGTTCCCTCCAATCCTAGAGTTACAAAGAAACAGGAGAGAATACAACAGAGGCCAAACAAGACAGTCAGGCAATAAAACATACAGTATACAAGGAGAAGCTGAGGGAGATAGGATTGTTCAGCCTAAAGAAGGCTGGGGTAGGGAAGGGCGTGGGAAAACGGGAACTACTTGCATTCCTTAACTACTTAAAGGTTAGCTATAGGGAACACAAAGACAATCTTGAAGATGCACAGCTAATAGACAAAATACGACAGTCAAGGCATTGGATTGAACATTAAAAAAAAAAAAAGAAAATCACAGTAGTCGTTAATCACTGAAATAAGTTGCCCAAAGAGGTTACAGATTCTCCATCGTAGAAGGGTTTTACAATTCACTTGAACAGAGTCCTTAAAACCTGTGTGGAGCAGGAGATTGGTCTAGGTAACCTCCATAAATCCCATCTGACCCAATCTATTCTGTCATCCTATGGACAGTGGCAAAAGATTAAAGTATTTTCAAAGAAGCTATGGGGTTTAATGGTATTCTCAGGTATACAATACTATGTCATTTACAATGATATAGTAAATATCACTGGAAACTAAATCACATCTGTTATCACTGTGTGTGCAGAAACACATTTATCTGCTCAGCACCAGGTGCTCTGATACTTTCCTAGCAGGACTTCCTGTCCCACTGCAATAAGAGTGGCAGTAATGCTCAGAGACATTTTACACGGAAATATCTAGTGCCACAGTTTCTCATCCTCACCTCTGAAGAGATATACTCCACTATCCAAGAAGATTATACTCCTGTCATTCACACTTTGATCATAACAGTAACCAAGACTTGGTTCACACAACTGACCTACGTTGAATAACCTCCAGGATGAAGAATCTTTTTAGAGAAACAGGCTACAAAATATAAAGATATGTGAAGTTCAAGACAAGCCATCACACTTTACCAAACATCTAAGAATGCCTTCAGCCTCTCAGCTTCCTCCCCACACATTGTCAAACACTCTTGAGTTCATAGCAATACACTGCAAACAATGACATATCTGACTATATGAAAGACAAAGTCATTTCAATAGCAAAGACATTAGAGAAATTATTCAATTCTGTTCTCAAAGAACTCATGCTACAAAAGCAACAAATCAGTCAGATTTCAGTGGTATTTGTCCTGTTACACATGAAAACGGAAGCGTATTTTAATAGTGGTTTTATGGAGAAAGGCCTTATCTCCATGAGCATTCAGACACACAGAAATATTAGCAAAATTACTGGAATTCCATTCTATACTCAAAATAAATCTAGAATGAGTCGATATCTATAACTTATCCTTTTTAAAAAACATCTTTTGGAAGGTCAATCTGGCATCTGACTGCATGAGTCAAAGCCACTCTTTAAGAGAGTATTTTCCTCATCTTAAGTGCCTAAAATCATGAATCTCAGTGAAATTATGAGTTCTTCATTGTTTCAGTATCATAATAACCTCTAAGGTTTATGAAAGCTTTGAAGTAGTGAAGAGTTAAAACACACGTAACCTCTGTTGAAATTGAGACCTTCATCTGCTGTTTAATGAGATTCAGAAGAGCTATCAAATGTAAATAGTTTCAAATAAATAAAATTAATAACAGAAATAATTTGTGCAATTGTCATTTGAAGGGAATGATGGTATCCACATGGTTTGTATTAAAATCACAGGGGTTTTTTGAGCAATCAAGAGAATCCGAGGTATCAATACAGAAATGCAGATTCTGAATATCAGTTGTGCTAGGTATCAGCTGGCATGCAAAGTTTACAGACTGGAAAGGAGCAACATCTCCTGGCTGAAAATGGTAGTTGTGGCAAGATTTTTAGTCCTATTATTAAATTTGAAGTTTTTAACTGAAGTATTATACTGGGACAGTGCACTACTTCTGTACTGTCTTGGCAGAAGCAGGGTCAGCAGCTTGGCCAGGGCCAGGAGCAGAGCACGAAGGGTGGTGTGAGGCAGACCATGCTCCCCCCTGCAGGGTTGTGTCCCACAGAATGCACCCAAGGGAAACAGGATAGGGCTCACAACTGTAACTAAGGTCAGCAAAGAATCCAGGTCCCCAGCAGGTCCATGGTGATGAGGGAGAGCTGAGGCAATTCAGGAAGCCAATGAGGCAATTGGGGAAGCCAAGCCTACAGTGTTGGCTCAGAAAGGGAATCAGACAGGTCAGCAGCACAGCTCAGGCAGGGACCAAGGCTCAGTGCCTGAGCAGCTCCCAGGCAAGGGACTGGAGCTCCCAAGAGGGCCTATTGCAGATCATCCTCACGCAGCTCTTTCCGCAAGGCTGATCCCAGGTTACAGCTGCACCACATTAGAGAAGCCAAACACCATCAGGGAATGAGTGAGGAAAGCTACTAAGGACCATGAGGTATACCAGCTGAACTGTAGTCCTGATAAGTTTGGGTATAACTTTCAAAAGAATAAAGAGATTGATCACCTCAAATAAAATGGAGCTAATCACTGTTTAGAGACGTCTTAACAGTCATAGACATTCACTATTACATTAACATTGTTCCAATACAATCAGAACCAAATTTCAGATTGGAAGTCTTCAATATAATACAAACTCTATTCTATTCATGGGGAGACTGAGATGGGAAAATAATCCTAATGGTAGGGATAACTGTTACACCCTGCAGTTGTGAATTTACAACTTCTGAATGAGAGATTGTCTTTGGAATAATTTAGCAGCTGACTTTCCTTTTTTTCAGAGATACTTGTTCTGAGACACTCCAGAAAGACAAATATAGTTGTAGGTTATCAGATTTTAGAAGCGTTACACGGACTAAACTGAATAGAAAAAAAAAAAAAAACAAAACACATGTGGTTAGAGAAATGCAGAATCAAACCACGTCTTCTAAGGACCAACTTATTTGTAAGCAAATCATTGAGTTTATCTCAAATCCTAGTGACTTCAAAAACCTGATTGTGACAGACTAATTCTTTGGTGCCTGACAATTCTCAACAGAATGAAATGGATTATGCATTTGCACAGGCACACTAAAATTCTGTGTTGTGACTCCAGACAGATGGCCAAATCACAAGTCCTGCAATTAGAAGAGAACTTCATGTTTTGCTGTAAATCAAACATAGCCCCAGAGAAATAATCAAAACGCAAAGCTTTCACTGAACCAGAGGGAGCTGAGAGAAGTTCCCTACTTATACGTAATGTGTTTCCCAGGATGTTGCTGAATTCTGTAAAACAACTGAAAATCTCTTGCTTTCGTTCTTCAAAGACAAAAAAAGAAGGATGTTTCAGTGGCTGCAAGTGATAGCAGGTTGTCAAACACCCTGAAAGAAGGTTTTCAGCATGCATTTAATTAAGTCTTCAGACAAGTATTTTTTTCTTTCTGTACAAGTGAAATGTTGGTTTACTGAACTGGAATTCTGAGCTACTGAAGTTTATATTCAATGTTGTATCTATCTGGAAGCTGCATTTTTCCAATATTTTAGCATTTAAATTTCTCACCTGTATAAACCTCATTCTGCTGTCAGCTGCCTCATTCAATGTGCATTTCCCTATATAAATCAGCATAAAATAAAGAAAAAGAACAGTAGGATATTTTATATATCAGTGGTACTCTTTTCACTGAGAAAAATTTCTGCTTGCTGTCATGTGATTTATTATTTCAGTTTTAATCAGTCTGAAATTGTTCATAAACATAAAACACGACAGTTCAAGGTTCCTTACTCCCTTGAAATTTCAGCCCCCATCCTGGCTGAATATTCCATTCATTAACATAATAAGCTGTACAGAAGCAAAAGTGCCACCATTATCAGTTTTATTTGTTTGATCTCGAAGGAACTCCACATAATGATAATTTTTCAGCTTGAACTGAATGCTAATGCCTATATATTTCAAGCACTGTAACTAAACTGAAAAAGGAATAAATCACCCAAACATTCTGAGAATCCTAATCTAATGCTCTGACATTTCCATGGCCTGCTCCTACTCATGACCATGAACCTTGTAAGCAGTAGTCAGCGTTTTGACCTTTGAAAGAGAAGTGTTCTGACCAATTCTCCATCATCTGAGGTGCATGCTGCTAATACTGGTCTGTACTAAACTATTTAGTAGCTGAATCTGGTGTAAAAGGCATGAGTTTGGCTTGAAAATTGATATTATGAAGAAGATCACGAACAGACGAAACAGACCCATGAAAGAACATTTCAGACACTGTAACAATCTCCTTATGTAAGAATGTCCAAAGCAGACATATATATAACCTGTCAAAAACGTATACAAACACCAAAGACAGCAAAGTTAAAACAGAAAGTTATCAGAAGCAATTTTTCAAGAAGTTGAAGTTGTATCCATGAAGGAAAACAGAGAAGAATGAATCCTGGTAAATTCTGGTAGACCTAAGTAATTTTAATGGAATATTGAGTATAGGCACAAAAGAGAACATAAAGAGGAGGCTACCACAGTCTTTCTGAATTAGATCTTTCATGTTCATATTCATGGTGATTAGAAAAATATTTAGTCTAGAATATAATTTTTGCAGAATGAACTGGAATATATACTTTTAACTGATGTTTCAGAAAGAGAAGGTAAATAGTGAATCAACAAAAAAAAACAGTAAAAAATTTTTTAAATGAGATGATATTCAGTGTAAAACATCTCAAGTCTAAAATAATTGTTAACTGCAATACAGTCTTTCATTGACAAGAAATATAAAAGGTGGCAAAAATGCCAATTTATTAATTTTTAAGGAGTTTCAGCATTATAGCAACTGAAAAATAGACAAATGAGTCTGACATCCACATTAGACAGATTTGTAGAAACCAAAATACAGAATAAAATTAGCAAGCATATGAATAAATTATGATAAAATGTGGAAAAGTAAGAATGGCTTTAGTAGAGGGAATTTGTGTCTGTTACATATATTAGAATTCTTCCAAGGAGTCACAGAGAAAGTGAGAAAAGGGGATTTATTCCTACTTCTGAGTTGGAATTACAGACTTCTAAAGAATCTCAGCTGCCATGGAATAGGAACAAATTCATCCATGAGAAAACTCAATTAAAGAAAAGACAAGAACAAAAAGACAGGACTAAATGGTCAGGTTTTTTTTGAGGGAAAGGTATCACCAGTGAAGCCTCACAAGGAATCAGTCTAGAGTCACTCTGTTCAGCATATTCATGAATTATCTAGAATAAAAATGAATGAGACACAGAAAAGCCTCACACTAAATTAGCAACAGTAGTAGAAAAAAATGCCAGTTGAGAAGAGTTTTAGAACAGACTCATAATAGACTGAATAGAGAAGCCAGCTTACAGAGAGACAGGTTAGATGGTAAAGAAATCTTTCTGTGGTGAGCATTGTGAAGCAGTGGAGCAAATTACCAAAGAGGCCCTGGAAGAATCTCATTGCAAATCTGTCGAGAGACTTCAGACAAATATCTGCCACATTCACATGGTCCATCCCAAGGAAAGTCTAAATGGTGTATTAGGAAATGAAGTCGCCTCCCTAATGCACTTTTTCTATGTTTGCAAGTATGTAGGCATAATGACTCAAACATCTGTCCTCACTGGCATTCATAATCAGATGAAATTACTTCAGAAATTATTATCTCTCTTATTACCGGCAACAATTTAGTTAGTTATAAAAAACAAATAAAAATATGTGAACTTACTGAAGACAAAATTGTTAAATTATCTTAATGAAATCCAAGGCAATTTGAGACACTTACATATAATCTTATTTACATTAATAATCAGGAAATATTACTATACTTTTGGTATATTTTTATATTTTTTATTATTATATACTTTGTCAATCAAAAACTTCAGTCCATTATTTAAACCTACCTTTCAATATTAGACAAAGAAATACATACCATGCATACCATTGTCTCCTAGCTTCCAAAAGATGATATTTACTGATTGCATGGTATTTGCAAAGAGCATATTACAGGAAAAAAATGGATTTATGGAAATAAATCATATAAAAATATTTTAATAATAAATATTAAAATATTGCATTCTTGTATTGCTTTAGAAAATTGTGTTTCCACAAAAGACTAGCATAATACAGCTGGAGTATTGTCATAAATCTTCTACAAGTATCTGTCAGAATCTGAGAAAGATTCTGTGTATCAGATCTGAACATTATATCTGAAATGCTGAATAAATTGATCTCAAGAGTTTTCTGTGATTACTTCAGTTGCTGAATTTTTTACTCTATCATTCAACTTTTTAAAAAACTCAGAATGTGTTTTGCCTATTGTTATACAATAAACACCGGTATATACTAGTTGTAACAATATATGTTAATCCATTTAATTTTTTCCTAAAAATAGTTTGACATTTGCATGTGTATGTATATAATAAATATGCATAATATATGTGCATATGTATAATAGATAAGAAAGGTTTAAAAGCACAATATTATATTATATATAATATTCTAACACTACTTTTACCATAATCTTGTGCAGAAGCGCCCGGGCAAGCAAGAGAGAAACAAAGCCTTGCTCTACCCTGTAATAATCAATGTCTCAGTAGATCACTAGATATACTTCCCTGTCTTAAACAGTGACTCACCCTCCAGTCAAAGGATTGTCCTTTCATGAGCTTGTTAGTTGAAAAATTATACATATTAACTTAAAAGTCGTAATCACAAATCCATCTGCAACTGGAAATTACATGAAATGAGGACAGTTGTCTTAAAAGCCCCTGAAGTAGATATCATTACCTCCTTAAAGGAAATCTGTTTCAGTAGTTATGTGATTTGTATGCATAAGCAATGATTAAGAGATACTGAGTTTAGGAGAAGCTTGTTAAACTCTCATAACTCCATACCTTATTTGACCGTAAAGACACTCTTCCTCCACAGCGCGCACAGAATTTAGTTTGGCAATATGAACAGTTATGGCCACAGCCATCAGCAAATTTTGTTTTGTGGCAGATGCCACAGGTTGGGGCATCACCCTTCTGCTCCTGCTGCTGCTGTGATTCTTCACCCATCTTCTTCACTTGCTCCTTATACATTTCAAACTGCTGATGTAATTTTCTGCAGAAGAGAACATACAAATACAAATAAAATACAAATCAGAGTGAAATACTGTAGTAAAGCAAATACATTTAATTTACGATGCTCCAGAAGTGTTACATTCAAGAATTACTTCTTTTTCATTATAACTAAAATCAAGGAGGAAGCTCAGCACTGATAGCATTCAGCTCACAGTCCAGCTGTTACAAAGGGAAGTAACTCTGATTTAGGATGTGACCAGCTGTTTGCTGAAAATACAGCAGTAAGAAACAGGTTGAGTGATCAAAGAGCCCATAGCACTAGACAATAAACTGGTTAATAGCAGGGAAAAAAAATCAAATTCATTCTTCCAAGTGTTCTTTTACCTAATTCCACCAGACAGATGCAGATATCTTCTTTTGATATAGCTTATCTTCATTTATCTAACAATACGGCATAGAATAATGATTCTAAAATGCTTTTTCAATGACTTTTCAATCACCAGGTTCAAGCCCATAATAAGTTACCTCATCTTAACAAGTGATTATAAATAATTTAAGCCATTCATATCATTAGATAGGAACTACCATCTTATGTAAAATGTAAGGTAGAAAACTACCTTAGGTGTAAAATCCAAGAATAGTAGTTTAAGACACACACACACATTTACCTTCCATTTGTAGAACTGGAAACACATGCACAGTCAGTGGCCATGTGTGTGCAGAATTACAATGAATCTTTCAGTCATGCTACATCATTCATATTTCTGAGTCTGCAATTATGAAATCTCCATATATGATAATTAGGCATGTCTCACTATGACCAAGCTTACAGATTTATTTCATGATCTATAATGGCAGCTTTTTCTCAAAACCCCTGTTTCTGAAGGTAAATGATGTTATGGGAAATTTAATTTTCATTATAAAAAGTCATAATTTTTTAGCTCTCCCAGATTCTGAAAAAGATGCAAAATGTGACATAGCAAATTATAAGAGATTCAAATACAAAGGGAAAACAAAAAGAACTTTGTCTTCTCTTTTATCCTTGTCATTCAAAGGGGTCTGAACAGTGATATTTAAATTCATACCACGGAATTCAACTCACTAATTTTGCTAACAGAGTCTTAACATTTTAGCAAATTAAAAGTTATTAATCTAATTTAAGAAGATTATTAGTTCCTTGAATAAGATCAAGCAAAACCCCAAGAATGAAGCACTTTCTATGAAACATTAAAAAGGTAACCTAAAAAAGATACTAAAATTGCAAAAGACATTTATTTTTCCTTAGAACTATCCTAGAGATTCTTGAGTTTAGGTCATTAAAAAACACACATGAAGCATAGGATAGAACAAAAAATAACCTCCTAGAAAAAAATTAAATCCAGAAGACCAACTTCCTTAAGCATAAATATATCCTTTATATAGATCAGATATAAATTAATGATGAAAAACTATTTCATCAGAAGCGTTAGAGGCTCCTATGAAAACAAATATTACACAGAGTCACTTAAAGATTAACTTAAGCAGTTATTTACCATAGATATTCACACATATGGCAAGAATTGTTGGGATTTGCTTTGTTTTTCAGGAAAACTCCCCTAAGAACATACTTCACATTACTCTACAGAGGAATTGTAGGAACAAATAGGCAGCTCCCTCTCTCCATCAGGCAAGACGGGAGGCTGGAGGCCTTCCTCTTCCTCTGTGTCCCAAACTGCTGCCTCGAGCCCTCAACTACCACTGACCCTTTCCCAGGCAGAGGGAAAGCAGGGTTGCTTTGTCTTGCTTTTGTGTTATTTATCTAATGTACCTCCTTCTGTCACTTCGAGATCAACTCTGAGTGCACAGGCTGGCCTCAGGGTACAGCAGCAGGGACTCAGAATAACACTGGCACGCTTTTCTCTCACTTTCAGCCCTTCCCACCTTCACAAGCCTCCTGACCTGCAGCACACCAGGGACAGGGGTCTTGTCTGAGGCATCCAAGGGATGGATGTGAAGGACGTCATTGCCCTGAAGGCCATTGGGGGAGTCAGGGGTGAGGGGCTTCCTCTGCCTCCTCACTGGTTCAACAGAGCTCATTATTGAGTGTTGAATGGGGAAGGACACAAGTTACTAATAAGCAAGAGCTGAATGAAATTAAAACAAAATTTAGAAATCTGGAAACCTCGCACATTTCAGCGTTTTACACTGACAACAGTATATAATTGGTAGTTGGTAGTCTGGCCTGTTTCCATCAATAACACATGAAAGCTCTGAGACCTTGCTTGCCTTTTAATTTTGCTTAACATTGCATTCTTCATTTAAAGCATATTAACTATGCTGAACTCCAAGTTTATTTTTAGGCTCCATTCAGTTTTGTGGCTTCCTTATAATCTACAGCCTTTGTTTGTATGATTATTTGCTTACCAGTCTCACTGATGCATAAAAAGCATAAGCCTTTTGCCAAATCTTAAGCCTCGTGTACTGAAATAATTTCACTTTTGTTTCCTCTTGAGCACAAGAATCTATGTAAAGGTCACAACTTTTCCCTCAAAGTATAAACTTTTCAAGGTTGTACAGAGTAGTTTTCTAAAATCCTTGTTCTAGCAGGAAACAATTTATCATCTGCCAAAGTAGTTCTTTACTACACCTTTTTCTGTTCCAAGAAAAATATTACATGTATTGATAGCTATCAGAAAAAATTAAATGCAGAAGAATCTATGAAATATTCATTTACACACAATATCTGTTCTCCTTACTAAACAAAACCACTTGAGATGAATACGCATACTTGAAACAAAATACAAAATATTCATTTTAGGAAGTTCGTTAAAAAAGTGTTTATTTTGTAGATAAATAATTTTTTTGCTTATCCAGCCTGCACAGGTTTAAGCCAGAAATTAAGCTAATAACATGCAGTAATAATTAGGTGTTTAGAATAGAACGGTATCTGAAACACA